TGACCTTGCCTTCAGTGAGTGCTCAGTGAAAAGGACAAGATAGCAAATCCTAACACAATTGAAATCCTTAAGTGACTTAACGTAAACATATACACCGTGTCCTTTGAAAGCAGAGTGACTTAGTGAGATTGAATGATGGGAGCTGGTTTTTGGAAGAAAGGCTGAATAAATTGGATTCATGAAATCACACAGGTTGAGTGAAGAGTTCGGAAGCAAAAAAAGTCAACATAGCTTTTTAATTTTTTTTATTTTTACGTATTCCCATCGACAATCAAATTCAGCATGTGTATGCTTGGCACACATAGTAGGGGCAGAGAAGTTAAATATACTACTATAATATAAGAGTCCATTGTGTTGCTTGGTTAGTTGTGCCCTGTGTCTTCTTGTTTTACATATAAGTTCTTGGATCTGCCTTTGTCATTTTCTCTTTTCTACTTTGTGTTTACCTTTAGTGCTGGGGATCAAACCCAGGGCCCGTACAAGTTAAGTAAAACTCTAGCATTGAGCATCACACTATCCTTCTATTGTCACTTCCTTAGCTGTCCTAGCCTTCAGCACTCCCATTTATAGTACCCTGAACACACTGGATTCCAGGATTTCTAAGATCTCAGCAACGGCTCCCAGTAGTATAGCCAATAGGACCTAACTTATGCTTTAAGAAACAATTCCACAAATTTCTGTAAGCAGATCTCTATCTGTGTGCTTGATAATTGTAGTTCTCTGAGATGTACAAGACATTATGTCGAAAAATGAACTTTACAACTTTGGCGTGGGGGGGGAGGGGGGTGTGGGGGAAGCGGGGGAGATGGGAAGGGATGGGAAGGGGAAACAAAAGAGGAGGCAACAATGCTTGGTAGGAAATGTACCCATTACCTTGCTCATGTAATTGTAACCCCTCTGTATGGTATTTTCACAATTAAAAAAAAAAGAAAATTGTAGTTCTCTTCTCCCAGATGTCTTCATGACCTGTGCCCTCACTTCATTCAGTTATCTGCTTATATTTCCCATACTATTCTCTTACCTCTCACTGCATTACTGCTGCCCAACACCGTTGTACATACCTTATCTGTGTCCTCCATAACAGCTCAAGTTCAAAGAGTACAGTTGTCTGTGTGTAGTGCAAATACCAGTTTGTGAAACATAGGAGGTCCTCAATAATTATCAAATGAGCTGTCATTAACCTTAGGTTGACTTTATGCATTAAAAACAATGTGAGATTCAAGCCTTTCTACCAAATGTATGTGGTGTGTGTGTGTGTGTGTGTGTGTGTGTGTGTGTGTGTGTGTGTGAAGGAAATTATGAAGTAAGGTTGCTATAATGTTTGAGGACATTTTACTGAGACAGTTAGGAGCACATTCAACATTTTATTGGAGATAAGAAATTTAACTGTTTCCATATATATGTAATTGGTAACCAGTCAGCTCACATTTTCTCCTTATTTATTCCATGGAAAGGGAAGAACTTAATGGTGGCAATTGCAGACTTAGACAATGAAACAGGCTTACTTCTACCTCTTTCTGGCTTTGTCCTTTTTATAATTCTGCATGTTATATAAAACCTAGAGTAATACAAGCAATTATTGTCCACAGAAAGTGTTTGGTGGAATGGACCAATCATCCCATGGCATGCATTTGTCAGCATTTTATTTGAATGTAAATGTAGTACAGTTTGAAATTATATAGGATTCTATTGATTATGTAATATTTAAATGCTCTACTCATTCACCAACGAACTGGATGGAACCATTGACATGGGCCTTTTATATTTGTAATGAAGCCATGATTTTACTTTTCAAACAATTATCACTTTACATTGGTATCATTCTAGAAAAATGTCAAAAACGTATTGTTATAGATTGCCATGTACCTCTTTAGCAGAGGAAACTCACTTTAATTTTTCTGATGAAGTTAATTTTTCATCCTCTCATTTATTGGAAGAAAACGATGCTACAAAACAAACTTTTCAAATAGGCAGAGATCAGCAAGGTATTCTTAATGTTGCTGGAAATTTATTCTTGCTTCCTAAAGTTCAGGTATTTCTGATTAACATGTTCCTGGTCAACAGTCACAGAGTAGTCTCTTGTTGGTCCTAATGTTTGGCAGAACATTCCAGCTCATAGCTGTGTTTGGGCATTAGAACAAGAATGAGGAGACATTGAATTTGTTAGTAAAGCAGAGACAGAAGATAACGTTTTCCTTATTTCATTTTTAGGAAATATGTGTACATATTTAAAAGCTGAAGAAGCTTAAAAGAATATACAGTTAAAAAATAAGATACCTTACTGGGAAAAGGAAGAAGGCATGTCATGAAATCAGCTGGCCTTTGACTGAAACCTTTAACATTGCAAAAATCTCCCCCTTTTGCCCTGCTTTTTCTGAGACATCTTATCAGAGATGGAAAACTGACAAACATAACAAAACTTTATTTCTTAAAAAGTTAACTGTATGAGGGAATGGACATATTAACTAGCTCTAGTAATCATTTCACAATATATAGTAATCATTTCACCACGCTCACTGTATACTTTGAACGTACATTTTTTTCCAGTCACCTCAGTGAGGCTGGAAACAAAGAATTTACTATGATTCAGGCATTTACTAAAGAACTTTACTAATGCATTATCTCAATTTTATTTGGAAAATTCATTGGGTGCCAGATCTGATTTTGGAGGTAGAGGATCTGATAATGAGCAAAGCAGACAAAAATCCTGATGTCACAGTAACCTGACACAAGAGTTTTCCTGGAACACTTCATTCTCTTGGCTGAGCACCAGGGAATGATATCCATGCCGTCTAAACCACGAATGCAAAATAGGAAAGGAAATAATTAAAGCTTCATTTCAGTAATCAGCTCACAAAATGGTTGAGCTCTATGCTCTTGATTTTTTAATGTGAAATTGTTTGGCGGAATAATTAAAACTCTGAACACATGCTTCCCACTAAATAAACATCTGAAGGAATATGGAGGAAAATGGTGATACAGGGTTTTTCAGGTGCATCCTGTTAGTTTTGTAAACCCGTCCCTTTGTCCTTTTAAGGGTGGGGCCCTGAGGATGGTTTGGAAATGTTCAAAAAATTCTGTCCTCCTGTGAAGGTCTGATATTTCTCAGCCTTATCTAGAGGGTACATTATATCAAGAGCAAAGGCAGAGTTGTCTTGAGTATAATTAATATTCATCACTACCAATGGCAATTGTCCGCCCTTTTTCTCTTCCTTCAGAGTTTGGCATGTCTTTCTGACTGAGCAAAATAGCTAATGTTTTGCTCATTTCAAACTCCAGTTGCCTGATTCTTCGTTATTTACTGTATGGAAATTTATTTATTGTTCTAATCAGTAAAGCTGGAATTAAAACTACAAGCTTTGACTTCTTTTAGCATATGAGCTCTACCCTCAAAACTGTCCTCTTTTTCAGGCTGATGTAAAAGCTTGCTTATATTCAGGATGGAGGGTGAGAGGATGTGAGACAGGATGCAGAGGTTTTTTTTTTTTAATAATTTTATTTTTATCCAAGGTCAACAGAAAACAACAGAAGCGGGGGCTATGTACTTCAAGCCATCTTTGGGGGTTGCTGTGTGAATTGGAAGCAACTGGAGGTGAGATGGTCAATAAGAAATGCAGTGATACTTGAAGAAAGGCAGATAACCTACAGTAGAACTATGGATTCGAAGATGAGGAAGTACAAGGGTTCTTGAGGTCTTTGATGGTCTAAGGCATAAGTACAAATTTTTTACCCAGGAAAAGAGCAGAATCTACAACAGCAGTGAGATTTTTGACAAGAGCAGAAAGAATCTAGAATAGTAGTGAGATTGTTTTAGTTTTGATTTTTTTTTTTGGCAAGAGTAGATTTTGAAATCATTCCTTGAAATAGTTAATACTTGGGAGGAGGCCCGAATATGATACCTTGTAAGGCTTTCCTCTGCCCTCCAGCGACCTGTCAATACCTTCAGTACAAACTTTTTATTTTCGGTGGTGGGGCTTGAACTCTTGACTTGGGCTCTGTCCCTGAGCTCTTCAGCTCAAGGCAAGCTCTCTACCACGTGAGCCACAGCGCCATTTCCGGCTTCCTTGGTGGTTAAAGTCTCACGGACTTTAAGCTTAAAGCTGTGAATCGCTATTCTCACATGTCAGCCTCTTGAGTACCTAGGATTACAGGCGTGAGCCACCAGCGCCTGGCCAGGTTATTTTTTAAAAGGTAGCTTTGGGACATTAATTCTATTGGAACCACAAATAATCACACTATTTCAAGTGCTAAATCCTTCCAATAGCTTACAATTCCTGAGTATGAAACCCAGTGTGTGTGTGTGTGTGTGTGTGTGTGTGTGTGATGTGTGTGTGTGTGATGTGTGTGTATGTGCAAATGGAACCCGTGGCCCCAGTAAGACTACAGTTTGCCCTTTTCAGTTGAGTATCTCCCAGCTACCCAGCTCACACTCAATTTCAGCTCCTCTTAGGTGTATTCCTTTTTGTAAGTTCGGGGAAACTGCAAGCTGTTGGTCAGCAACTATTTTGTTCTTTCTGTTCATTCAAGGAAGAGTTGGTGGGGGCCAGGTAGAACAGAACGTAAGCAAAAGACGTCTCCTATTCTCTTGTGGAACTTATAATACAAGATTTAAATACTAACTTAGTAATTGCACAAAAAAAGAAAACCTGAAGTTGAGATCAGAGTGGCTAATAGAAGACACCAGCAAGGAATGAGAGCCTCTATTGGGCTTTTGATGTGAGGAAACTGAAGATAACAGCTAGTGCAAAGAGAAGGATGCCCCTTCTCTTTGCACTAGCTGTTATCTTCGTTTCCTGGCTGGGAGAAAACCTTTTTGTAGGGTTGTAACTTAGTTCATTATGGTGAAATAAGAAGTAATGAAGCAGGCATCCAGATAACTAATTAAAGTAGCACTAAACTTGGAGATTTGCCTCTTTTGTCCCCTACCGGCCACCATCTGAACGCGATGGCCAACAACGTCGCCACACTGACTTCTGGGAGTTGTAGTCCCAACCTGACCCTGCAGACATGGCGGCCTGCATGGCCGGTGGCTGCAGGCGCCCAATGGGGCTGACCCAAAGCTTCAGAGCAGCGAGGGCGCTACTCCGCGCGCCAGCTTCCGTCGTCTGTCGTAAGTGGAGCTGGGCTGGTCGGCCCGGGTGCGGTCAGGGTCAGAGGCGGGGGGGTTTCGCGGGTCTCAGGGCGGGCCACGGTGTCTGACCTCCCTCCACGTTTGCAGGGCTGCGCGCGGAGCCGGGCCGGCCGCAGAGCTCTGGGCCTTTAGAGCCCGGCGCCTTCCAGCCGCCGCAGAAACCCGTCATCGTGGACAAGCGGCAGCGCCCGGGCGAGGAGAGGAGGTGAGGGCTGAGCGGCGCGGGGACGCCGGGGATTCGGGGTAGGGGATGGCGGGATCCGGGAGCTTTGCGAGGGACGCGCATGCGCCGTAGCCCCGACTCGGAGTGGTGGGAATAGAGTGGTTAAGTTTCCCCCTCCCTCCCCCAGCCTTAAGTTTGGGGTAGAAATCAACTAGTCAAAACTCACCGTGAGGGCTGGGAAGGTGGCTCAGTGGTAGAGCACTTACTCTGCATGCTCAAGGCCCTGGGTTCGATTCCTTAGCACCACATAAGCAAAAAGAAAAAAAAGCCGGAAGTGGCGCTGTGGCTCAAGTGGTAGAGCACTAGCCTTGACCTGAAGAGCTGAGGGACAGTGTTCAGGCCCAGAGTTCAGGCCCCATGACCGGACCCCCCCCCCAAAAAAAAAACTCACCGTGATTCAGGTCGTGAATTCCTGGCAATTTAGTAAAGCCGAACTAATGTGCTCACCCAAACTGTGCATAGAAACCTGGTTCACTCCTAAGTGGATTTAAAGGCGAAGATGTGTATCAAGTGTCTCCTCTGTCGAGCTGGGTGAAAAGCCATCCAGGCGACTACACTTAAATCCTGACTTGACCGACTCATACCTTCAGCCTCTTCCTCGGTAAAATGAGATGACACTGGTAATCATCTAGTTGCTGAAGGAGCTAAGCTATGCTTCTGGGTTGGCTTTCTGTCATTGTGATTAACTTTCTAACATAACTTAAAGGAGGAAAGGTTTGTTCCACTACCTCCAAGTGGCTGGCCACCAAGCCCTTAGCTTATATGGCATTTGGGGGAGGAAGCTACTTAAGATTCGTACCATATTAACGCCGTAGGTGTTTTTAAAGCTTTTGACAAAATGCTGAGGAATTGTTAGCTATCTTCGGGGGCTTTAACAATAACTTTAGAACCTAAGTTTCAGAGATAACAGTGACTTTTTACTAAAGAGAACAAAAAATAAACACCATATTCCCCCATGTAAAGTGACATTTTTTTCCCCCATAGTAGCTTGAGTTTTTCGTTTTTTAAAAAATTTCTATTTTTCACAGGTTCTTGAGTCCTGAATTCATTCCTCCAAGGGGAAGAACAAGTCCTCTGAAATATTACCTGGAAAGAAAAGACATGTTAGAAAGAAGAAAAGTACTTCACATCCCAGAGTTCTATGTTGGTCAGTACTAGTTGGATGCTTTTATTAGTTGGAGGGTTAGTTTTCTTTTTATAAGGATCATTCCTTACATATCTGAGTTTTGTCTGTAGGAGGTACTTTTTGCTAATATTAAACTATTAGGAAGGTAAGTGGTCTGGACATGTTACCATTTTTCTTCATTCCATAAACGCTGGCTTCTCCTTTGTAGGAAGTATACTCCGTGTCACCACAGCAGACCCTTATGCCAATGGGAAAACCAGCCAGTTCCTGGGGATCTGCATCCAGAGGTCAGGGGTAGGACTTGGTGCTACTTTTATCCTTAGGAATACTATTGAAGGACAAGGTAAGTGGCATTACATTATTTCATTTGTCTAGGAAATGTTATCTCAGGACTTTTTTGTTTCTTCATTCCTTGGATAAACCATTTGAAGCTTGATTGAGTGGGTATCTATCTAGGGAAGCTAACATGAAGCCTCTGGCCTTTGATTGAATTGACAACTATGGCTATTGCTTAAGTGCCTTCTCTTGAAGGTGTCTTTTATTCTGTTTCTTACTAATGACCACAGTCATTTGAAGTAGTCTTCCCCAACCCTGGCAGCACAGAAGTCTGCATAGCAGTGCAGGGATAATCCTTGAAGGAGCAGATAACCCTGGGAACATTAGACAGGTATGATATCCTTGTGAGTTACTTGCCCCTAAAATGGAATCATAGCCTACTTAAACTAGAAATCAGGTGCTATTTTCATTTCCTTTCACACATCCAGCCAATACATTTTCTAGATTTAGACTCCCAAGAGAAAGATTCTAATTTTATATTTTTCCTCCCTCCCTGTTGGCTCTTCCCTGACATCCCATTCCCCCCACTGGTGCCATCTCCATTTTTTCTTCCTGCTCTCTTTCCTATATGTATTGCTGTCACCAACTGCCCAAGTTGTCATTTGTAAATAACATTTATTTCTCACAGATCTGGAGGCTGAAGAGTACACAATCAGGAACTGGCAGAATCTGTGTCCCTGCCTCCTGAGTGGCATCTTGTTGCCATGTCCTCAGAGGAGACAAGTACTAAGTCCTCAGCTCCTATAGAGGATGAAGGCACAAGATCTAAGCTGGTCCCTTCCAGCCCTTTCATAAGATACCATTCTACTCATGAGGGCAGACAACTCCTGAGTTCCTTGCTTACCCAGAGGTCTCACTTCTCAGTAGAACCAGGTTTTTCAGCATGTGTCATGGAGGGGACACATCCATGTTACCCTTGCTTGGTATATTTCTACCAAGTGATCCTTTCCCTGTTTTTCTCAGCATGTCTCGTTTTTCATACCCCACAGCCTTGTTATTTGCTCTTCCCTTTCCCTTCTTCTCTTCCTCCCCTCCTGTTTTTCTTTTTTTTTGGATCTTTTTTTTTTTTTTTGTGAATGTTTTCCTCTTCTTTTCCTTTTCTTCTTTCCTTTCCTTGACAGTCTTGTGGGCTCAACTGATATTCCCATACTCAGCCTTTACAGTAGCTGAGACTACAAATATGTGTCACTACACTGGCTTGTTCTGTCTGGGGCTTCTTGGCCCTTTATAATGCCATTTCAGATGTCATCTTATCAGTGAGACTTTCCTTGATGGTCTTTTTTAAGGTTGCTATTATCTCCTAGGTAAACTTGATGGGAGGAGAATGATCTTGTTTTGCTTTGCTGTAGGCATAGTTCCTAGGTCAGTGTCTGGAATAGAATAAGTATACTGAATGGTAAATACTGGCTTTCATTTTGGTACCAAACACTAAAAGCTAATGTGGAGTGTATATCATAGTATTTATATTTCTTTTGGAATGAACCTTAAATATACCTTTGCTCTTGAGTTTCACAACAAGTGTACCATATATAAAATGATGACTTACAGCATCTCATTATAGTTGCTGGTCTGTTTCACATAAAGGGTTCTAGTGTTAATAAAAACTCTGTCATCAGTTAGAATTCAAATGTTTACTTTTTTTTGTTTGTCAGTATTGGGTCTTGAACTCAGATTCTGGGCACTGTTCCTTAGCTTTTTTTTTTTTTTAATTGAAGGCTGGTGCTCTAACACTTGAGCCACAGCTCCACTGGTGGTTAACTGGAGATAAAAGTTTCATGAACTTACCTACCCAGTCTTTTAAAGATCCTCAGCTCTCAGCTTCCTATATAGCTGACAAGCATGAACCACCAGCACAGCTTCTTATTAATTTTACATAATTAGTTTTGTTACTTTAATAGGGATGATTATTTTGAATCTGTCCATTGGGAAATCAAAAAGGACAACACATGGAGAAGACATCACATCACATGCTCAGTCTTTCTCTAAACTTACACATTACCAGAATTAAAGCACTCTCGGACAACGTATTTGTAGAGGGCAAGTCTTCTTAAGACTTACGTCATTCTCATTTAGGGTTCCTTACTTTTTGTTCTTTTTAATCTTTTTGTAATTTAAATTTTATTGTAAAGGTGATAAACAGTGGGAGTGTACTTCTTTTTGAGCAGTGTTACCCTCTCCCATTTTCTCCCAGTTTTTCCCCTCCAGACTTTCCTCCCCCCTAAATAGTACAGTTCATTTTTAACATAGTATCCAGTGAGTATCACTGCTGAATTGGTTCACCCTTTGTCCCCCATTTTTGTGTTTTCCCTTCCACTCCCCAAATCAGATACTAATATACAAGTTACAGAAATCAAAAGGTGACAAAAGGGAATAAACCTTACAATAAGAAAACACTTGTTTCCATTTCTTGGAATTCATTTCAGCATCACTTTATATGGTCCTATGCACATAGCTATTGAGCCCTTGTGATCCTCTCCTAGGCAATGTAGGTAGGCATCTTTGATGGCAAACTCCTGTATTTACATACCTTCAAAGTATCCTTCGCTTAATACCATTTTTCCAAGTCTTTCCATTTCCGTTCTTTGATGGAAGCATTAATCTCAATCTTTAATTTAGACAGATTTAGGTTCTTTTCAGTAAGTTTCATCTTAAAAATTGTAAATTTCTTATTTTCTTCTTGTAGTATCTTTATGCTAGTTGCTTTATGTATTTGAGGCATTTTCAAGGTGACTTGGATTGTAAGACTGTGGTTTTTTTTTTTTTTAGGTGTTGAGATTTGCTTTGAACTGTATAATCCTCGAATCCATGAGATCCAAGTAGTCAAATTAGAGAAACGGCTGGATGATAACTTGATGTACTTACGAGATGCTCTTCCTGAGTACAGCACTTTTGATATGAACATGAAACCAGTAATATCAGAGTCGAACCAGGAAGTTCCTATTAATGAGGTATAAGTTGTATATTTGAGTTAGAAATATAAGTATAAAATACTAAAGAATCATCTCAGGGGTGTAGCCCTCTTGTCTCACATGCATGAAATCCTGTGTTCCATCTTAATGAAAGCTTCAGAGATTATTTTATTATGAAAATAATGTATAGAGGGGTTACAATTACATGGGCAAGATAATTAGTACATTTCTTATCAAGAATTGTTGCCTCCTTTGTTTCCCCTTCCCATCCCTTTCCATCCTCCCCCCATCCTCCCAAAGTTGTAAAGTTTGTTTTTCGACATAAAGACTTGTACATCTCATTATTGCAATGGATCCACCTGTATCCCTATTTAAATGATTTGTTTTTGCCCTTCCCCTCCACAAATTATACCAACCTCAAATGAAGTGAAAGCAGGGTTAGACCGTGGGGGAGGGACATACAAAGCAACAAAGAAATCCTCTTATAAAAGGTGGCTCAGTGGTAGAGTGCTTGCCTTACATGCATGAGGCCCTGGGTTCAATTCCTCAGCACCACATAAGCAGAAAAAGCTGGAAGTGGCGCAGTGGCTCAAGTGGTAGAGCACTATACTTGAGCTTAAGAGCTGAGGGACAGCACCCAGGCAGAGTTCAGGCCCCACGACCGGCAAAAAAAAAAAAAAGATGGAAAAAAGCATTCCATTTCTTAAAAAAATAATTTTTTTAAATATTTGTATCAGGCTAATACTTAGTTGTTTACTATCTTCCTTAGCTGAAAGTAAAAATGAAACCTAAACCCTGGTCTAAGCGCTGGGAACGTCCACAATTCAATATTAAAGGAATCAGATTTGATCTTGCTTTAACTGAAGAACAAATGAAGGAAGCTCAGAAGTGGAGTAAGCCTTGGCTGGAGTTTGATATGATGAGGGAATATGATACTTCAAAGCTTGAAGCTGCAATATGGGATGAAATCCAAGCCTCAAAAACATCCTGACTTTGAGAACACAATTGGTAGCAGTAGAAGATGTGTTGGCTCTCAGAGGACTTATTGGAAAACTTATGAGAACACAATTATTAAGTAAACTAAGTAATTATTTTCTTAGTATTTTTTAAATAAATGAAATTTGCTCGTTTATTATGCCACAAAAGAGAATCATATCATCCCAGATTTGTGTGGTCATTCTTTCATTGTAGGCAAAGCCACAGTTGGACCAATGCATCATCACCAGAAGGCTCTTCCTGAGCATGGAATCTGAAAAAGGGGACTGAGGGAATTGTGTCTGTAAACTGTGAAATAAATCACAAATATGGAATATTATATGACTTGATCTGTAATGAACATTGACACGTCTACCATCATGTTTCAAAACAGAACCTTTAATAGTATCTAAATACATGGTGCATGCCTGTAATCCCAGGACTCCAGAGGCCATAGAAAAAAATTCTAGGTTAAGAATAGAACATTTACTAATTAAAAATTCAAGTCAGAAGATAGTATTTTAATAATAAAAAAGTTTACAAGTTTCGGGCTGGGAAGGTGGCTCAGTGGTAGAGTGCTTGCCTTGCATGCCTGAGGCCCTGGGTTTGATTCCTCAGCACCACATAAGCAAAAAAGAAAAAAGCCAGAAGCGGCGCTGTGGCTCAAGTGGTAGAGCGCTAGTCTTGAGCTGAAGAGCTGAGGGACAGTGCCCAGGCCCAGGCCCAGAGTTCAGGCCCCACGACTAGACCAAAAAAAAAAAAAAAAAAAGATTACAAGTTTCATATACAACAGAATATCTGCCATTTATTCTGCCTGGCATCTCTGCCATAAAAAAAAAAAAACTACAAAACTAAACACATACATTTTTGCAAATAATGAAAACATCAGAAAATATAAACTCAGAATGAAGACAGCAGTTGTAGCTGGGTTTGTAGTTGTGTAGAGGTGCAACATGCTTTCTAGCAAACAGCAATGGTTTGAATTTCTTACATGTGATTTTATAATTTGTGTGACTAATAGAAATTTTTAAAAAATCCTTAAATGAACTACAGGTCTTCAATGCAGTAGAGATAACATAACAAGTTTCATGTAACTAGAAAAGTAGGCCACACATTCAGATCCTATAATGTTCACTAGTTTTTTTTTTTCCAGTTACCTTTTGGAAGCCAATTTGTAAAGTATCTATTTGGGGTTTCCGTTGAATAATTTTACAAAAACTCAATTTAAATTTTTTTCTTAATTTTTATATCTTACCTCAGACTTATAAAATACTTTATCAGAAACCAAGTCACATGTTTTCAGTGTTTAAAATACTGGTTCCCTTTTTAATCCAAACACACACACACACACACACACACACACAAAATCCCAGAGTAATAACTCCCTAATAGTAATGACTTAGGGCACCAGAAAACATCTTACGTAGTATGAAAAGTGGCAATTAAGGAAAATTGCCAAGTAGAGAAAAACAGTATTTGGAAAATATAAAAGTGTCATAAGTCTGTAAGAAAAAAGTAATAGCCATTTCAAGAAGAATTACAAATGGACACAACACATGCTCATTCTCAACAGCCCCAACAAATACCTAAGATTCTTTTTAATCATCTGCAATAAGTAACTTAAAAAAAATTACCTGTTAAAACTGTTGAGGCTTGTGATTATGTAACAAATTTGTAGAGAGATTCCTGAAGAACAGTTGGACTATCACTTATAAAATGTTTTAAAATGCCGTAAGTCACTTAACACTTTACAAATAATTCTAATTAACATTTCTTTATTTGCAAATAACTACAATAAAAAGCACAATTTAAGAGAGTTTTATGCTTAGCTAAGCCAAAATAGAGCTACATGCCACATTTCTCCAATTTCCCTCTTAAACTGGGAAAGAAGAATCAGAGGACACTCTTCAGGACATGGGAAGGTAGTGTGGAGAATGGGCGGGAGTTCTACCCTTTTACAAATCCTACTTCCATTATATGGAGTACAGATGTGCCAGCTTTGTTGGCAAAGGATGTAACTTCAGTACTTTCTTAGAAAGTTTAATCAAACTTTTTTAATTAGAGGTGTAAGATGGTCTAGGTGATACTCTTCTATGATAGATTCTGCTTGATTCACAGCTTTTATTTTCACCAGAGTGAGAATTATGTTTTTCACTTCATTCCTGGAAAACAAACAAAACTTTTTAAAAATGAAAGTAATCAGAGCTGGGGTATAAGCTCAGTGGCGTGTTGTTTAGCACCCCAAACCCTACAAAAATGGTATGGGAAATAAGGCACAGTAATCAACTCTGAATAATTCTTAATAATCTAGCAAAAGTTTTACCTTAAAATAGCATAAAATGAAGAGATACTTCCTTCACATACAGTAATGGAATGTGTAGTGATACTTTAGTTAATAGGCAACTGCTGAAGTGTTTCTATCGCCTAGTGACATGCCGATCATATGATATACAGCACTTAGTTATGTGTTTGTGGTGTGCTGGTATAAAGAAACCTGCTGGAGGTAATAAATAATAAAATAATGAGAAGCACAGTAATACAGTTATGTATAGTAGTACTAATATTTGATAAATGACTAGGTTACTGGCTCATGTATTTACCACAGTATACTCATTATTTTAGAGTGTGCTTGGTCATTTAAAAAAGAGTGAAGCTGCCAACTGCAGCCTCATATGTCTTGTGGGTGCTGCATCTCTTGAATGCCTCCTTTCCCCTTATATTTGATTTATTCTTGTATCCTTTATTCAACAAGTCCCTAGGAACAACAGAGTACAACACACACACACACACACACACACACGCCTAGGAGTGTAGTAGGTTATACTATCTAGATTTGTGTGTAATTACATCATTTGTCCAATAACAGAACTGCCTAGTGATACATTTCTTAGAATGTATTCTAGTTATTAAGTAATGTGACTATAATCACAAAGTTCAAAGACAGACTATTAATAAGTGCATTCTGGTGAATGCCTGTGAAAAGCAGGAAAACAGAAGTTTCAGTAGTGCTGAGTTGCTATAAGGTTGTTGGCTAGGCCAACATGGGAGGTCTAGCCATTATGGGAAAATGACGGGAGTATTTATACTCAGTATAAAGAAATACTACAAATCTCAGCCACTTTCATTTTAGTTTTTGGACAGGTGGTTTATCAGAGCAGCAACAGGGACATTCAGAGCAGAGACTGGCTACCACTGGGTAAAACACTAGGCTGTAGAACCACATTAATAACTGTTGAGTCTTTACAAATGAAATTAAATGAAATTGAAAAACAAAACAAAAACACATTTTAACCTATTTTGTCTTTTACTAGTGCTTGCAATCAAACCCAGTGCCTTGGGCATGCTAGACAAAACACTAGGCAACATTTTAAAATGTCTAACAAAGCTGGGTGCCGGAGGCTCACACCTATAATCCTAGCTACTCAGGAGGCTGAGATCTGAGGATCATGGTTCAAAGCCAGCCTGGGCAGGAAAGTCTGTGAGACTCTTATCTCCAATAAAAACCACTCAGAAAACCAGAAGTGGTGCTGTGGCTCAAGTGATAGTGTACTAGCCTTGAGCTGAAGAGCTGAGGGACAGCACCCAGACCCACAGTTCAAGCCCCGTGACTGACAAAATAAAATAAAATTAAAATTAAAAAAAAAAGTCTAACAAGAGATTTTCAATTTAAAGTTTAAACTCCACAAATATTCCTGTGCTGTATAAGTGCTAAATGCTTAGTTTGGAAGAGATTTAACAGAATAAATATGCCCAGGGTATTATTATAAAATAGCTATTCCAAGTGTAATTCTACAGCACTACAAAATCTCGACAGATTTTTGAGTATAGTAAAAGTACAAATCTTTCTAAAACCTGCAAAAAAGAAATTCTTGTACTGTGCTTATGAAAGTAAAAATAAAATATTACCTGAATTCACTGCTAGATAACTTGTGTGCAGACAGCGATAAAAACTGGCTGAAGTTTTCTAGTTGGGGAATAGGTGTCCCCGTAGCAGAATGCTCCAACCACTGTTCTGGTATGCAGGCTGCTACCTGTTAATCCAAACAATAACATTCTTGACCCTTGTTACCTGTCATCTCACAGTGATTGTGCAAGATGAGTATTCATCTCCCCATTTTATATTTAGGCTTTAGTAAAATTTTTGAAAAATATTCCTTTGTCAAAGGTAACAATATTTTCCTAAGCAAAAACATGGTTCTTAACACAACTGGCAAAACAAATATGTGTGTACTACTCTGCATTTTTCTGATTCACAGTACTGCTCATCTTTCCCACATATCGCAGACTATGTTTACATATCCAGTTGTGGTCACTGTATATTTTTGAGATTTGTAAAGAGCTTTAAAAAAAATTAAGGTGGATCTTAATTCTCATGTATTATAGCTTCTTTCCTAGTTTTGCAAATCATATCCTTTATAAAAGTGTTTTATTATAGAAAATTTCAGACTGGCAACAGGAGAAACAGTAGTATAGTGAGCTTACTCAACACTCCAGTTAACAACCATTAGTATCCACAGCTTTTTGGCTTATGTGTTTGATCCACTAAGGTTTTAAATTTCTATCAAATCGATCGCTTTCTTTTCACCATTTCATTTACTCCCTACTCCCAGATGATCATTTATCTTTTTAGTGTATTTTATAATTTCATTTTTTACATTTTTACACCTAAAATGTAATTATTCTTGACTAATTGATATGCTTGGGATAGAAACCAGTGCCTCTGCATGCTAGGCACGTGCTCTACCACTAAAATATATCCAGCCATCAACAACCATGTGCTAGTATGTGGACTAGCACACGTATGTGCTAGTACTGAGGCTTGAACTCAAGGCCTCAGTGCTGTCCCTTAGCTTTTTCACTCAAAGCTGGTGCTCTACCATTTGAACCACTGTGCTACTATTGTCTTTTTGATGGTGAGTTGTAGACAAGTCTCTTGAACTTTTCTGTCCAGTCTGGCTTTTGAATAGCTAGGATTACAGATGTGAGACACCTGTACCTGGATCTTTTGATGTTTGAGGTATGCTTTCACTATATACCCCAAGTTGGTCTCAAAGTTGCTATGTAGTTTCAGTTGGCCGCAGATTGACATCCCTACCTCGGCCTCTTGCATGCTGGAATTATAGGCATGTGCCATCATGGCTGGCTTTCAAAACTACAGGAATTCTTCAATATTGAAGAATATCTTCTGGGCTTCTACTCTTACATAAGCATCACAGTTTTGTTTGTTTCAAGATACATTTCAATAGTTAATTTGTTCCCAATTTTTTGAGTCAAGGTCTTGCCATTCCGAGCTTAAGCTGACCTGGAACTTGTGATCCTCCTGCCTTAACCTTGGAATTC